ATATAGTAATTGATAGTTCATATAATCATGTTTGACCAGCAATTAACAGTTTGTAAAGGGATGCATAATGATTTAGAAGAATACTGTTAAAAACATAAGTAATTAAATTATACAATACCATATGATTATAGTACTACATTAATCCATATGATTATAGTACTACATTTCGTTCATCATTAATCCATATGATTATAGTACTACATTTCGTTCTCAAAAACTCTTCTTATTTCATTTTTGGTACTTCCAACAAAATACTTTCACTTTCTATTAAAAAACTACTTTTACCCTTACTTTTTCATATCCTACCTATCACATCATACTTTTTCTCTAATAAAATTGGAAGTCAACTACAATTTAACACTTCCTTATTTTACACAAAGTCAAAATAGAAACACTTATTTTACACAGATGGAGTATTAATTTCTGTGCACCTTGCTAATTTACTTTTTTAAAAAACTCTTAGATAACAATTTTTCCGAGGAATGCTAGGGGTACCCCATTTTGTACACCATGCATCCTAGCCCTTCATTTATTTTTTTATTTTTAATGTTTTTTCTCTCTTTTGCTTTGTGTGGTAGAGATGGAGGGGTACAAATGGGGTACTCCAAATAGTGTACCCCTAGCATTTTTTATTTTTCCCACAATTAAAAAAAATGGTTTGAGTCAAAATGGTGAAGGACAGGATATTGTTGCTTACTAGCTAGGTATCTCTAAAAAAAAAGAAAATAAAGATGCAATATTTGGGACTTGTAAGAATTAGCTAGCTCAATAACCTCAATTCGTACGTGTCAAAAGAACAAGTCAACAAAAAACTAACCAAAAAATAGAAGTTTTAATTAATGAAAAATGCTAGGGGTACACCAAAGGTGTACCCCATATGTCCCCCACCCCCTCCTTGTCCACTAAAAAAGGGTAAAAAAATTTAAAAAAATAAGTAAATAAAAATCAAATAAAAATGTGTGGTGGAGAAGGGGGTGATGTACATTTGGGGTACACCTTTTGGTGTACCTCTAGCATTGCTCTTAATTAATAGCTGGAGATCTACGAAAATGTAATGACTGCGTTGCAATTTAAATTGTTTGTTACGATCTATAATATTTGATTGAAATTATTTTTAATCTTATTTTATTTGGTTATTGTTAGCGGGTATTTGTATTAATTTGGGCCCATGTACTTAAGTCCGCTAACTTGTTTGTATATATAGACGATTATGATTAATGAGAACGACATATCAGTTTTCGCTAAATTTCTACATTTATAAAGGAAAAAAAAGTAGACGATGTACTCCCTCTCATCTCATTTTCTTGCCCGTTGCAGTTTATGCGGTTTGATCAAAGTCCAACCTATAATTTTTCTTTTTGATTATTATAAAAGAAAAATGAAAAGAAAAAAAGAGGAAAGAAATGAAAATGAGAGGAGAAAATAATAAACTCAGAAGGAAGAAAATAACTTTGCTTACATTTTGATAAAGAAAGACGAGAATTAAAGTCATTTTATTTTACTTTTCTTTCAAATGCTTTGAACAAATATAACGTAAGATCGGACTTGCACTAAAAAAATAACGTAAGACTCAATAAAAAGTTTAAACTAATTGTTGGGAGTCAGTATAGGTTTAGGACCATGTCAGGTCTACACCAATTTGTACACCATAAAATTTTGATAGTTTGCACTAACATAAAGTTTCAATGTAAAATTTGCGATCGAGTTGACATTTTGTGTACGTGTAAGTCATTAAAGTGTTTGAACCTCAAATTATATACTCGCTAGACACTTGGAAATTAAGACTCCACCGAAAATGAGTCTTTGATTAAAAAAAAAACAAGTGCACTTGTTCAAAACACAGAATGGTACTCCCTCCGTCCCACAAAAAAATTCTCATTTTGAATAATATTTAGTCAAATATTTACACGCTTTGACTACAAATTGTGATAAAAGTATATTGAATTATAAAATAAATTTTATATAATTGGATTCATCTTAGGATCTAGTTTTGATATCTCAAATTTTTTTTAGCATTTCTTTATTTAGATTATATTTAATTTATGATCAAAGTGTGTAACAGTTTGACAAATTTATGGTCAAAATGGGAACTTTTTTGTAGGACGGTGGTAGTATTATTTTTAGTTAGTGAATTTTGATTAAAAACTTAATCGACTATTTGTCATTATCTGTCATATGCTATGATGATTTGGCCTTAGAAACTTTTATAGTGCCACTCTTCCATTTTTCAAATCATTGGTCAAAGTTAGTTATCGTTTTCATGTATACAATTTTTGTTTGACCAAAATTTCTATTTGAACAAAACCACACCCCATGTGTCATCATAATAATAATAATTGCCTAAGCGAAGAAATAATAGGAGTAATCAAAATAAGGAATAATCTTTAAGAGTAATCAAAATTCTTTTTTTAAAATTATTTTAGATTATTTAATTTTTTATTGAAGTTCACAAATACTAAGTTTGTGACTATTGTGTTTTTAAACTAATCATTTCTAAGTATTTAATTCAAGAGTTGTTCTTTTGTAGCCCTAGGATACCGTAGGACCGGTCCACATGTGAAATGTGATCATTCTAATACTTTTCATGGGCCATCAACTAATTTTTTTTGCAAACGGCCCAATCCTTTCATAATATAAAAACACTAAGGTTTACAAAATAAACATAGACCTTGGGGTCACATAATAATTTGTCTGAATTCAATCAACTTAGAGCATCTCGATCGTGCTTGCTATATAGACTTGCTATTTTTATATTATAACAAATGAGTTGTTCCATTCTCTAATAGATAAAGTATCATATATGTCCATGTCCTATCTGAAAATATTCAAATTAATCCTTGTACACAAAATTGAAGCAATTTAGTCACTGTATTAATTTTTGTTCAATTAGGTCCTTCTTTTCACTTTTCTGTTATTTATTCCCCAAACTCTAATAAGGATGATGTCTAATATTACTATTGTTTTGTCTTGGCATGTTAATTCGTGTCTATATTTAAATAAACTTTTTTTTGCTAAGAACAATTGCATTTGTTTATTGACTTTCTTTTATAAAAATGTAGAGATAAAATTATTTAGTATATAATGACTAAAATTCGATTAAAAGTGTAAATTAACATGCCAAGACAATAACTTCATGTCATTTATAGTAAAACTAGACATTATTGCTAATGGTATGGAGCAATAAATAATAAGAAAAAAAAGTGAGGAGAAAGACCTAATTGAACAAAAAAAAAATAATACAAAGACTAAGGGGCTGTTTGTTTCAGCCTCTTAATGGTTCAGATGTCTGAATGATTCAGCACTTAATGGTTCAGACTGTTTGTTTCAGCCTCTTAATGGTTCAGATGTCTGAATGGTTAAGAGATTTGCCTCTGAATGGTTAAGTATTATACAGAGTCTGAATGGTTAAGAGCTCTTATCTGAATTGATCAGACATTTGCCTCTGAATAGTTAAACAATATACTAGCTCTTAATGGTTCAAACCTNCTGTTTGTTTCAGCCTCTTAATGGTTCAGATGTCTGAATGATTCAGCACTTAATGGTTCAGACTGTTTGTTTCAGCCTCTTAATGGTTCAGATGTCTGAATGGTTAAGAGATTTGCCTCTGAATGGTTAAGTATTATACAGAGTCTGAATGGTTAAGAGCTCTTATCTGAATTGATCAGACATTTGCCTCTGAATAGTTAAACAATATACTAGCTCTTAATGGTTCAAACCTCTTACTGGTTCAGCACTTAATGGTTCAGACCTCTTACTGGTTCAGCACTTACCCATTCAGAAGTTACCAAACAGCCCCTAAATTACTTCGATTTTGATTAGAGAGACTAATTTAAATAGTTTTAGACAGTACAATGTAAGAACCCAATCGTAGCTTGCTATCTCATTTCTAACTATTGGCTTTGCTATAATTTAAGGAGCTTAGCATGTTTTATTTAGCAAAATAAAATTAATCTTTTTTTTTTGTAAGCGAAGATATATAGTATTGTGGAAGATTAACAATAATGTAAGTGTTTTGAAGAAATCAATCCAACACAATTTCAGGACAATTTGATTATTTCAGCCCAACACATCACATTATCATGGCGTAAAAGTCATTTCTATATATTGATTTGCTTTATAATTAATTAGGAATTTTATACATATTATTACTTGTATTATACTGTATTATTATTGCTTAGGACCGCACATGATTTGCGTATACGCTTCCCGAGAGTCATGTACATATCTCTCCCTAGCTTGCAACTTAATTGCTAGCCACCAATGCTATCCATCTTGTCTTGAAAATTTTATTAAGGACTCATTTAGTAAAGAGATGAAAATTTGAGTTTTAATAGCTTTTCATATCACAATTCTTTTTTTTTGTTGAAATATTGGAACAATAATATTGCTCTTTGAATTATGAAGTACATGATATGGTATATATAGAAGAGACTCTTAATACAACTAGAAATAGAGAATGAAGACTAACTAAAATACAACATCTAATAGTAATAGAAATTAAATAGGAAGCTGACTAATAAACTAAGCTAATACTTACCTCCCTAACCCCCTTAGCTTGAACCTCCACACTTGCACTCCCACCCTACCTTCTGCCACATTAGGCAAATGTATGGTCATTATGTAATTGCCTAATGACCATACATTTCGAGCTACGAGGGGGGCTTGGGGAAGGGGGAGGGAGAGGGGTGCAGGAGCTGGGGCGTGCGACTGGTGTGAACATTATTAGGGGAGATAGGAACCATCAATTCAAATGAACTAAATCAATTATTAATTATTTTATTATATTAATTTATGTAAATTATATTATTATTAAAAACATTTTAATCCCATCTTAATGATAGAGAGGAGGGGGTGTGATCCTTGAGTGGGACACCAAAGAGTTTTTTGCTTTGTTTTATTAACAGTACTTGTCTAATTTTGACACTTTTGATTCTTAGATATTTTAAAAATACAAAAATTTACGCCATTACATTCTATATTATATGTTTAGGTAGTAGACAGAGGGAGTGTCATTCAAGACATTTTATGAAAGAGGGTCGGTGAATCAATCGGCAAAGAGAAAGAGAGAAGAGTTGCGTGACCTAATCCATAATAAGGTAGTGGCCGGGCGTCGTGATGAGGATTGTTTAGTGAATGAAGCAGATGCAGAGAAACACTGTGGCTTTATGAGGCAAATAGAAACACATGATTTTTCCATCAATATGCATCTTATTGAAGGAAGAAGAGAAAGAAATCAAGTCCATGGAATTATTAGGGCTCCGGATAGGAGGAGATATATGAAGGTATTTCATCGACCCCGCTCGATCAACATGTGTGTTCTATTACTAGTTATCATGAGAGGAGTTGGTATATTTAGTAAAATAGAATTTACCATACTTTTGTTACATTCGTGTGAATACTCATTTCAGACTATAAATATTGATTTTGGAATTTTTTTTAGTTATATATTCGTCACATGTTCATTTGTGACATGATGTTCATTAGCCCAAGGAGTCATTGCTGCCAATGGAAGCCGACGTCATCGCCGCATCCTTTTCTTCATCGCACCTAGGGCTCTGCCGCTCCCTTGCGATCGATGCATATCATCTTCAATCTGCAGTAGAGGATCGAATAAAAGTAAGGTTTTTGTTACACGATGTACCCAAAGACAGGAACATCCAGCTTCCCTAATAATTCATGACGGGTTAAAAGCTATCATAAATTATCATACCTTATCTTCAACTTGTAAATGTTTCATTGATTATTTGTTAATATAAAATAGCTGAGTCACATCTTATTTTAATATTTTTAGTTATACACCAAATCTTAAATCAATTGAATTAGAAAGAACTCAATCAAATGTCGAAATATATAAAGTAAAAACTTTTACTAAAAGAGTATGTGAGTAAAATATGTATCCATGTAAGTATGTAAGCTAAAAATGAATAGTATCCAACTTATGCTCACAGAAGACTTTTCCAAATAAAAAAGAGGCACTACGGAAAGTCTCCTTTATTCACGTGCTTTGTGGGTCTAAAAAAACAAAATCAGCAAATCCGATTACCAATTACGCAATCTATTAATTAAAATGCTTAGAAATCGTGGCGTAAAATTTCCCAGTACGTTCCCAGATCCAATCACTACGTCTCATTCACAATATTCCCTTACCCATTTTTTTAATTCTCATTTAATGTTTCACAATAGCTGATATAATATTTTAATTAATAATTATAAATATCCTTATTTATTTATTTACAAATAACAAATACATACTATAATAATTTATTATTTTAAAATTATGTTTTAAAACAAATCTATATATATATATATATTAAATTTATACAACAATTTAATGCATTTTTTCATAATTTGTGATCAAAGTTTAAAAACTATTCACTGAAAAACAATTTTTTTAAAGGTAAAATAATTTTTTGGGGACTTTAGAAATATGATGAGCAGAAAGATGAAATAAATACGGAGTAAAAGAAAAAGATTGTTTTTTATTTCTTTTCATTATCTTTTTCAATAATTTTTTTTATGTTTTGAAAAATACGTAAATGAAAAATTATAATTTGTATACTAAAGGAAAATACGTAAATGAAAAATTATAATTTGAGAGCGTATATTTTATTTTAATTATTTGTATACTAAAGGAAAATAAAAAATTGGAAATTCAAGAAAAAGCAAAAGAAAGGGTATAAATATTATTGTATTTTAATTCTAAAAATAAGTAAGGGGCATCTGTGCTTTATTTAAAAATCACAAGACTTTACAAATAACGTTTAAAAATCGATGATTTATGACACTCTTTTTGTAAAGGGTAATTTATCTAAATAAGACTAAAAGATAATGACTTTCTCAATATAAGATCATATGTTTTTATTTTCCAATGTAGGATCATTTGTCATTATCTGTTAGTCATTATTCAACTAAATGTCCAGCATCACATGAACATTATTCTTCTCACGAGTCATTATTAAGTCCTATTTAAGAAATAAAAAAGTTTAAATCCTACATTGAGAAATAACTTATGTTTTGGTCTTATTCCGTGCAAATTTCACTTTTGTAAACTTCGAAGAACACCCATACTATTATCCCTGGAAAAAAAAAGATAAAACCGAGTAAATATTATATTGTCTCTCTCTATCTCCCTCTCTCACCAGTCACCACTACTCCTATAAATAAGCAATTCCCAACCGCCAAACACACAATAAACTTGCACTCAACAAAACTAACTTTGAAAAAACATATATGGCCTCACCAACACTCTTTCTAACTTCCTCCCTTCTCCTCCTCCTCCTCCTCCATGTCTCCCTCCCTCTTCCCCCCGCGAGAGCGGCGACGGAAGAGGACGACGGTCTCGTGACATCCACCGATCCTCGCTCCCCGATCAGCCGGGCAGAGAAGTTGATCAGGCAACTCAACCTCTTTCCCGGCCGCGGGGTCAACCGTGGTCAACCTAGAGCGTTTCCCGACAACGGCCAGAGCCTCGTCGAGAAACGCTTCAAGCTCGACTACCTGGGTGAGTCCGGGTCCTCGGTCAAAGACCTGGGCCACCATGCCGGTTATTTCAAACTCCAACACACCAAAAACGCCAGGTATATACACACACACACATATATATACGTGTACGTAAATCTTACCCTAACTAATGCTAATTACAAATTTTGTTCTTCTCCGCGCGAAATTATCGTTTAATTATCGTAGCATGTTCTACTTCTTCTTCGAATCGAGAAGCCGGAAAAGCGACCCGGTGGTGATATGGCTGACCGGAGGGCCGGGATGCAGCAGCGAGTTGGCTTTGTTCTATGAGAATGGACCTTTTCAAATTGCAAGCAATTTGTCTCTTGTGTGGAACAATTATGGTTGGGACAAGGTATTTATCTATCAATCTCATTTTGATTTTGTTTCTTATTTTTGAAATTTTGACGCGACATATATAAATGGTACGAAATCATTTTTGATATACGGAATAATTTTAATCAATTAATTGATGATCAAAATTTGTTTAATTAAGTCAAAATAAAGATACTGTGATCAACACGATTGATAAAAAACAATCAGAAGTGAATCTTAATTGTAATCAATATCTAGCAGGTCCTATTAGGTCTTAAAATCAATATATATATAAGTCCAATTCAAATAATTTAATTTCTCATCATATTCCCACCTAATTTGATTCATAACCCAGGTACTTAATTCAGTTAATTGAATAATTGGACACATATAATGACGTTTTCTAGGTTGCCAGCTTGTAATTGCAATATTTCTTTAGTGATATATGCAACACCCATATATTGACTTTATCGCAATAATACTTTTGGTCATGCCTACTATAATTGATCACCCGACCGAATACTTCATACTCCGTAATTATTTCTTGTTAGACGAGATATTTGATCGAGATTATTTTCAAGTCATTTTTTATGAAAATTAATGTTAAATGCAAAAATAAAAATTAAATATTTAAAAACTGCATCAAAAGATGTAAAAAACTAGATGTGACATGATTATATTATTTATCAAATATGCTATGAAAGTAGACTAATAAAGTGAATAAAGTACGATAATGTAAATAGTGAGTGAGAAAAATATACATCGCACTTCAATGGTTTAATTCTAACATAAGGGACGAAGGCCTCGTTTGGCATCAGCGTTAGTGTTTTTAAAAGGCTATCTGACGGTAGCCATTAGCGGTAGCGATTTTGAATTACGGAGTAATCTATACCCTTAATATTTTATCCAAAACGCTAATTGAAAACACTCTTCCCAAACAAGCCCGAAGGCCGAAGGGGTTATATATATATATATAATATTTTTGTTAATTTGGTTTGCAGGTTTCGAACCTTATCTATGTTGATCAACCGACCGGAACTGGTTTCAGCTATAGTTCGGATGAGGGTGACCTTCGCCACGACGAAAATGGCGTCAGCAATGATCTCTACGATTTTTTGCAGGTATGCCCTTAGTTTTAAGTCCAACAATGTGAAAATACTTCCAAAAAAATAGTTCGCTCTTATAGTAATATTTTTAAACTCCTTAGTATATTTGTTCAGTTTGAACAAATTTCTATCATTAATTACTTTAATTTGTATTGCGATCTAATGCAATGAAATCAAAATTTGAATATTTTCAACAAGATAGATCTAATAAAATAATTTTTATTTTTTATATATACTACCTACATTTCAAAAATATCATCTCACTTTGAACAACGTGTAAAATCCCATTTTAAAATAACTTAATTTATTAACAAATTGGTATAGCAACAAAAAAATACTCTAGTATCACTTACATACTCCGTATATTTTAACACTACATCAAAAGTTCAATAAAACTAGATATGACAAAAATATTTTATTTTATCAAATAATTAATGAAAATACACAAATAAACAAAATTCTCAGGTGATGTTTCTAGGACGAAGGAAGTACATTACAATTGTTTTAATATAATTGAAGTCTAAACTTTCTCTAGTTTGATTCAAAAAAATTAAATTAAATTAATACGCTAAGACGAAGGCAGTATTCACTTAACTAAATAAAAAATTAGTTTTTTTAATGTTATTGACTCTATTATAAAATAATATTTATTCATACTATTCTCAATCTAATGACATACAAAAGAGCCAATGTGCGTTCAAACCTCGGTGAATTTTCTAACTATCAAAAATTTAATCAAAAACGGCATTACCAAATAAATCTAAAATTTGATTAATCATCTCGAAACAAAGTTATCATCCAGTTATAATGATTACGCATACCTTTTTTTTCTCTCATTTTTCCTTCTAATTAAATTTCTTCATTATAAAAGAAGAGAATTATTGTTATGCTTAAACCAAAAAATTGCGATGCTAATTTTGTTATTTTTAGTTATAAATTTTTTTACCACGTAATATCATTATAATGGTCCGTTAATTGTGGTCACCTGTTGGCAAGTTTTTGACTGCTGAAATGTGCCAAAACTTAATTGTGGTTCAATCCTCACCTGAAATCATGTTCTTGTGTTTTCTTTGAAATAGAGTGAAATATCTCTATGAACCCTATGTCTTTTCATAACATTGGTTCAATAACAAGGGTACCTTGTTGTAATGTGATATACACTCTATTTATGATTGTAACATTCTAACGAGGATTGAAAAGTACCCGATAATCGTTTGTCCATTCCGCAGTCTTCGGAACTCATTCCCCAGACCCTACTCTTATGGGATTCTAGTGAGTAATATGGTGCAAATACTAAAATGCAACGAATGACAGGCCTTCTTCAAGCAACACCCCGAGTACACCAAAAACGACTTCTTCATCACAGGAGAATCATATGCGGGGCATTACATTCCGGCATTCGCTTCTCGGGTCCATCAAGGAAACAAAAACAAGGACGGAACTTATATAAACCTCAAGGCATGTCTATATATATTTTATATATATATATATATATCACCATCTTCGACTACGTTACACACATACATTGTTTTCTATATATATTGACACACGTATATATATACATACCTCGTTTGGTCCCAGGGATTTGCCATTGGAAATGGACTCACAGACCCATCAATCCAATACCCAGCGTACACCGACTACGCCTTGGAAAACAAACTGATCAACCAGGTTGAGCATGAAAGAATAAACAAGGCTGTTCCGGGCTGTAAAGAAGCGATTCAGCGTTGTGGTGAGTGAATTGAAACTTCTTGTATACCTTACTTACTCCTCGCTCCCTTCACATCAATTCTTCCATTTCTAGCTATCTGCTTTTTTGATTCCAATTGCCATGCTTTTTTTTGTGTGTGACTGTGTTCTGTACTTGTTTTCCCCCAGGAGCTGGCGGTGAAGATGCTTGCATGGACGCTTATGAGAAATGCACAACCATCTTCGAAGATATACTGAGAAATGTGAACAATATAAATGTAAGGAATAACAACTCTTTGGACACTGCACCTCTGTGTTTTGAATTTTGAATAGTGAAGAAAACAATATAAACTGGTTCTTTGGACACTGCACCTCTGTGTCATATTATGACACGAGCCAATTTGAGGCCTTACGGTGCTCTGTTTGATCCCAAAGTGGTTCCAACCCCCCTAAACCCCTCAATCCCAGCCCACCCCTACCCACCCCCGAATCGAACCCACATTTTTTAGTTGATATTTTGGTATTTTTTACTAGAATGACAACCAAAACTAGGGGGCGGCGGGCAGGGAGGGTAAGCAGGAGGCTGGTTAGGGTTGGGGGGAGGGGGGTTGGGGTGGAAATTTTACTTCGGGATCGAATGGAGCACCGTAGGGATCTCAAATTGACTGGTGTCATATTATGATGCTTCACCCTTGTGTCAAAAGAACCGCACCATTTAACAAAATAACTTTTAAAATAATTCCATATATGAAGGTTATCAAATAAGCTCGACTTTAAAAACTTAACAATATGCAAGAAGAGAAATGCTAATTTTTTCCGAAAAGCACTCCATATACGAAGGTTATCAAATAAGCTCGAGTTTATTAGAGTAATAAACATTATCAAAAGCTTCTTTTTCACTATAGTAAGAAGAGCTTGCCTTGTATGAACTGTAGTACTATGATATCCGGAAGAAGTGCGAAGGAAGCCTCTGCTATGACTTCTCAAACATGGAAACATTCCTCGAAGAGAAAGAAGTTAGAACAGCTCTGGGTGTCGGCGACATTGATTTCGTATCATGTAGTTCTACTGTGTACAACGCGATGATCAATGATTGGATGAGAAATCTTGAAGTCGGCATTCCTCCCCTCCTTGAAGATGGAATCAATTTGCTGATATACGCAGGGGAATACGATCTTATCTGTAACTGGCTCGGTAAGCTTCAGTTCATTAGCAATAAACATTACAAGCAATCTTAAAGATGATAGTATTTGCTATAATGCAGAATCAATAATAATCATAATGATCAAACTGCATTTAAAATGAAACAGGAAACTCAAGATGGGTTCATGCCATGGAATGGTCTGGGCAGAAAGCCTTTCAAACAGCTCCCAACGTTACATTTACTGTGGAGGGAGAGGTGAAAGGGACACAAAAGAACAGTGGACCATTGACTTTCCTTAAAGTCAAAGATGCTGGCCATATGGTTCCAATGGATCAACCTAAGGCAGCATTAGAAATGCTTCAGAGGTGGATGCAAGGCAAACTCACTTCAACAGAAAAAGGGCATCTTGCTCCCATGTAAATTACCATAACCATTAAGGACCATAGCAATGTAGCATACTAAATATACTTTCTCATGTACCCCTCATCCCCACCCAAGAAAAAAAAAGATGCCAAATGTTTCTGTTTCACACAGCTTCCAAGAAGAAACAAAAGTTCAATTTATTGGTGTTTTATGTACATGAAATAAAAATATCAGGTTATATTCAAAATTTGACACCAAAATGATTCCTTTAATGCTCTGGAATGGGTGCCTATATAGACCTTGTCCCTTTTTTGAGGAAAAGCGATGAAATTATTCACTAAATAATATTAAGTACAAAGGACGGGACGGGGGGCACCTAACCAACCCTCGATACTCAGAAGGGAACGGACTCCCTGAGCTAATGTGTGGGCAACCGAGTTCGATGAGCGGTGAGCGAAAACGAAGGAAATTTCTATCCCTAGAGAGGTAACAACAGATTTACAATCACTGAGGACGTGAAAATAATTTTCCAGCATCTCCAATGGAGCCAAAGATTCACTTTTTTTTACCATAGGGTGTGATGAAATAAAATAAAATAACTCTTTAGACTCTTTGCATTTCTTTCATAGTAAAGTAGCAGTCTTTCAACACTGTCATATGAAAAGAGTCACTCTATGTTTTAAACATAGAGTTTAAGCCACACATTTCATACCCCGCATAAATTGGAGCCTTTGAGGCACTGGGGTAATGTTGTTGTTTGAGGATGTGAAAAGAGGAGAAGGGAAACCAACATAGGTGTTGTCGAAACACATCAATCGCATCAATAACCGTGAGACACCATAGGGTTAAAACATGAGTGTTCTTCACCACTAGTGTTCAAATCCAATTGGAATGGCATTGTTTCTCTGAATATTGCATGAACAAGTCTATGCAGCAGTCTGCTTATGACAGGCATAACAATGCATAGTCACAAAACCTATTCTTCATTTATCAGCCACCTCCTCATTCCAGGATATCTCAGTAATTAAATAAATAAATTAGTATTTGACAGCTTAGCAAAATATGAAAGATATATCCATGTCGCATGTACTTTCGAATCAAAAGAAAGTGTTCTCCAGAAGTTTGTTTGAATACAAATTGTATACAAACATATAAAATATGATGTCCAGAAACATAATGGAATAGGAGAAAAATAAAAGAGCCAGACAGTGAAGATGTTAACTAGATAAGCTGCTGTGACATCAATCAAGAAGATAATTACAAGCTATCTTTCATTTTATACAGTTGCGTCAAGGTTGTAATTATCGGCTGAAAACCAGATCTCAATGGAACTACTGAAACCACTCTAAGATCACGTGCATTCCCATTTTTGGGATGTGACAATGTCACCCTCAACATCTCTCCCTCTAGAGCCTTGCCTGCAGTTCTGGCTGCACTAAATATACCCAGTAAGTTAATTTAATAGCACCCCATTCAAAAATGAAATGCATTTTCAAGATTGTTGCTTGAGAGTCTTCTCAATTATTGCGTTGTTTTGTAAAGAATCAATTAAGATGTTCCATTTTGTTTAAAGTTCCCTTCTCACTTTTGTGTTGCAATATCCCTACACACAATAACATTTTTTCTAAAAGCACTACACAACAACATTTAATAGATTAAAAATTGCGTTTTGGTCCCCCCAATTGAGACCCTGTTTTTTGCAACATAGCTGCTCATTGGCAATTTTGGGGCAAACACAGTCTGATAGACTTTAATCAACTAGAGTTAGTATGAATATAGATCTAAGATTATAATATTGATTGTAAATAAGAACAGACAAAGCTAAAAAATGCTCTTTGAATATCAAGAGCATAATCTCTTCTCCAGGGAAGGAGTATTTATAGTACAGGGTTAAGGCAGTTACGATCTACAATTAGAGGAGCTAATCACAGATTGTGCTGATCAGACTTGTGTGGAGCCCCACCCACGACTCCATCAACATAGGCTTCCGACTTATTTCCAGGTTGGGCTACTACAACCCCTCTAATGTGGACTTCCCCTGGTGGATAGTACAGGTCGAGCATATTGGGCCTAAATGCAATGAAAAATAATGGTATGTGCGACATCCTCACCCGATACTCAAGTGGCGCCCAACTCTCAGTCCACCCCAGCGCTCCTGGAAGGGGTCTTCAAGCTAACCCCGAGGTCCCCGACCCTCAGCCCGGGGACCTTCCAGCTGTTACCCTCAGCCCTCAACCTGCGGACCTTCAAAGCAACTTCCCTTTGCTCTAATTTTCTCTGTTCCTATCTGTAGAACACTAACATCTGACTCGTTCTGCAGGACTGTCCACTCCACAACCACTTGCCGCTGCGAAAGCCTGGATCTAGTTGCGACCATTAAAAGCCTTCTCCCCTGCGGGACCCTTCTCAATATTCGTGGAGAAAATCCCCTCGGGAAAAGCTCCGAGAACCCTGAGGTGGTGTAACTACAGGACTTTTTACAGGGGAACAACCCCCAGGGAGCCCTACGAAGTCTAGAGACCTGTCTCCTGACCAGGAGGTGAGCACTTCCAGGCAAGGCTCACTTTCTCCTGGTTGTTGCTTCATGAAGAGGTCCTTCAACACCTTCCTGGAGCAATGGCCTCTAACCAGCCTGACCATGATTCTCGATAATCCATCTTTCAAGCCTGCAAATGTCAAAGAAAGAGATCCTTAAGAGGTAGGACTACGTGGCTCTAAATGCCCTTTGACTGCAAAAAAGGTACATTCCTACTCATTACACAACGTAAATTGTTCCTTTCTCTGCCTTTCCTTAACCACGTCTTCACCCCCAGGCTGGAATGGCTCTCCATATCCTTGCGGCGGAGTTCATGGCCCACACCTCGGAAAAGGTTCAAACCACCTTGGACGTCCAAGGATTAGTTCAGAAAAAGGACACACTTATGTGCCAACCGATGGAGCTCCATATTGCCTTTCAAAGAAGAAGAAATTGCATGCTGCCACGTCCCTCTACCTCAACCGGTGGGGGAAGGCTGCAAATTAAAATCTGGCCATTGCGAAGAAGCATGCCACAAACGCTGAGAGTGCGGCACATTTTGTGGGTGGTGGATGCGAGGAAAGCGCAACATTGGCGACGGGGGAGCTTGAGAAGGTCAAGTTCTTCTGCGAAGAAAAGCTACATGCAATGTAGGCTCATTATGAGGCACAAAAAGCTAAATTGTTCTGCCTAAACAAAGGGTTGGGGGAAGATGTCGTGTTGATGAACTTCCAAGAGCAATGGTCCATGCAGGAACCTTTTTAAAAGGCTTTGGTGGAAGGCCTCTCATTGCAAAACCTTATACAAGACTTGAACCTTCCTGAGCGCCTGGAATAGCCAAAGCTGACCTGATCTGTCCTTGCACTTTCTATGCTTAAAGGAGTTAAAGCCTGTGTTTTAGGGTTAAAAAAAGTTGGATGTTGGAAGGAACGGAAAGAAACTTGAAAAAATTGAAACAACAACAACAACCCAGTTGAATCCCACTACAATAGGGTCTGGGGAGGGTGTGTGTACGCAGACCTTGCCCCTACTCGGAAGTAGGGAGGCTGTTTCCAAGAGACCCCCTGCTCCAAACAAAATTGAATGAACTAGAAAAAGGAAGAAGCTAGAAAAAACAGGAAGGAACTAGGAAAAACAAGAAAAACGTGAAGAAACGGAAGGAACTACAAAAAAGAAGAAGTTGGAAAAAAAACTGAATCAAGTAAAATAAAGTATTAATTTTCTATTAGTTCTATTTTAATTATTAGTTATATTCTTTGTTATCCGAATTTGTTTTTTTTACACATTTTTTTGGGTCGTTTTTTCTTTTTCATAATGTAGTAGTATAATTATTATTATTATTTAGTTTAAAATATTGATGTTTTCCCATGTCAATTTAGATTGATAAAAAATAGCTCTTATATCCATAATTTTTGGAACATAGGTTAGTATCATGTAAATTAATAAACAAAAAAATTGAATTATTTATATTGAAAAGTAGAAGGAAAATAATAATGAGTGTAAATCACAAAATAGTGACATGGGAAAAAATAGAACGAGGCAAATTGAAATAACTATTGATAATGATAATAGTAATAATAATAACAATAATAATAATAACATGAAAAATAGAAAGAACCGAAAGTGGAATAAATTTCGGGGAAACTAGAAAGAATTTGAAGAAAATAGAAATAGTTGGAAAAAATTAGGAGTTGGAAGAAAGTGGAATAAGTGGAAGGAACTGGAGAAAATTTGCAAGAACGGGAATAAACTAAAAGGAACCGAAAGTTAAAAGTTTAATCCTAAAAGAAAACACTCTTAGCTTGAGTAGAGATTTTAATAATTTTATAATTTTCCCACATCTTGAGACCCAAAGTAGCCTAGGGACCCAATGCGCCGCAATGGTCTCCCTAATCTAAAACTTTAAGTTCGTTAGACGCATGATAGCCTATCCTTCAATGGAATTTCAATCTCTCAGACTTTCCATAGCCCCAAAGGCTAAAGCCCTCTACCTAGTCATAGATCTCATGTACTCTAGGCCCTTTGGGAGGTCCCGATGCCCGTGTCTTATGTGCCCTACTTGGCTAAGTTCCCAAGGGAACCCTTTAAGTGAGTCCTCGCATCTGAAAATCCAATCAAAGAGTATCTCTTCCCTTGACCAAACAGGTCCTGAAGTTCAGGGGGTCCGTCCGCATTGTGTGCCCTCACGTGGATTGTTCAACACTTCATAAGAGTTATGCCTCCACAAAATCTTATGGGCAGGTGATCTTCTCCTATGAGCGTAAGTGTTGCATCCATCATAAGCTAATGTCTCCTACCGTACGCTCTTGTTCTTGCTGAAGTTCGGCCCCTTCAGTCTTTCCCTGCAAAATCCTTCATATGACCAGAACCATCCCAACTCTCACGAGCCCTTGCATTCCTAAGAAAAGGGCTAGTTAGATAGACTAAGGCTCCAAACCAAAGTGTGCATGTAAAGGCCAATCTGTTTCATTGGTAGGGAAACTTAGTGAAAAGGTTCCCTTCCTCAGAGGCAGTTGTGTACCTAATGAGGATTCTCTGAACCCTTTTGGGGACTTAGAAGATACTTACAAGTCCTCGAGTATATCCGAGGCAAGCCTCAACCCCCAAATCCTTCTAGCTTGAGGCTTGGTAGATGAAACTTTTTAGTTTCCTTTCCAAACTCTACCTACTGCTAGGATCAAATTCTTCTAAGAAAATTTGCTCCCAAAACTAAAAATGGTACATG